AAACTTAATAAAATTGCATATTTTTCAATGCAAAAATAATTTTTAGGTTTAACAGTGGCGTGCGTACGGGTATTGACTTCGATATTTTTTAAGAAAAAAATGATACGCCAACGGTTTCTTGCAAAAAAAAATTGTTTTCCTTCGGTGCGCCATTATTGAGTAAAAAAATAAAAACCGTTCTATTGTCTTGCATAATTATTATTAATTTAATTGGAAGAATTAAACACATTAGGGGTAATGAACAATAACAACTGACAATATAAACATAAAATTAAAACCAACGAAATGATTACAAACATTTTTGAAAATGGCCCCCTTCACATAGTATGCATGCTTCCGCCCTCCTCACTCGTTGAAATATCTCTGGAGTGTTTTTTCTATCACAAGCTGCAACTATTCTTTCTAGTAATTCCTCTACAGTATTAATGGGACTTGTGTACACTAGTGTCTTAAGATAGCCATACAAAAAGAAATCTAAACTGTTGAGGTCTGGGGCCTTGGTGGCCATTCTTGGGGCCCACCGCGGCCAATCCAACGTTTTGGATAAACAGTTTGCATATAATTACGAACCTCTACACTGAAATGCCCTGATGCACCATCATGCATGTACCACATATTATTTCTTATTACTAACGGAACATCACCAAGCAGCAAAGGCAACTATTGTTGAAGAAAATTGAGGTAAGTCGTCCCGGCAAGAAGCATGAGCCAATAAAGTGGTTGCCAATAATTCCTGCCCATACGTAAACCGAAAATTGGTGTTGGAAATGGGTTTCGGTTACGGCATAGGGATTTTCCTCTGCCCACAAATGATTATTGTGGAAATTCTGAATCGCATTTCGAGAAAAATTAACTTCGTCCGTGAACAGAATCATTGATTCAAATTGCGGATTTTATGTAATTTTTTGAAGATACCACAGACATAAGGTCACAGGCCTTTGGCAAATCAATGGGAAGTAATGTCTTAAAATATGATAAGGATATAACAAAAAATCCACTAAAATTCTCCAAACAATTTGAAATCAAATATTTAAATGTCTAGCAATCTTCCCCGTACTCGTTTCAGGATGTTCTTCGACTTCGTGCAGCACTGCTTCCTTAATTTCAGGTGTTCTCATACTTAGCTTCTGATGTTCCTTATCGGATAGAACCAGTTTCAACAAGACAACGATGAATATTAGAAAATGTTCGATATCTGGCAAAGCACGATCGGGATATCTCT